GGGCACGTGGGAGTATCGCAAAAGTAGGCTCGCTAGGCATCAAACAGTCCAAAAGTGTCATTGCTAAGTTTGATGGAACGGACGGAAAGCTGCAGAAGACCCGGATGTAAGGAGGACTACAGAAAAAAAATAAAAAATTGGTTAGCAATATAGCAAGAATAGCAAGAATAAATAAACAAATAATCAATTAATAGCATGAACTCGTAAGTGCGTGCCACTAAATATTAGGTTGGCGGGAAAGTTCTGTCATATATTTTTGAACCCAAAATATTTGCTAATTTTCTGAAAAGCGTTAACCGGTAATATGAGCACTTATACATCAAAGAATGGTCTTTCTATTGGTATCACTGGCTTGACTCCTGCCTCTCCTTATCGTGCAATATGAACAAGAATGTTTATCGCTACCTTTGCACCGACCCCCTCCAATGGCTCGCGACCTCAAACTCTTTTCTTCTAACGCGCCCTGGTTTCCAGGCGCCAGCATGACAGCTGTCGACGCCGAAATAACGGAGCTGCACATGGACAATGTCTACAGTCATCTGACAATCTTCCACGACGCTGGCTCTTCAGAGCGGGAGGCTACGGTGCGAATGGCGAAGTGATGTTTGGGAGTACCTGTGATCTCAGCTTGAGATAGCTGTGGGCCGGGAAACTACTGTATAAAGAAGCTGTCTCCTCGGTTAATCCGTACGCACGCAAGGGCATGCTTAGGAGATCTGAAGCGTATCGTCAAGGCAGAGGGCAAAATCCATCGGCGACAGTCGTCTCAACTGGTCTGGTGCAGCAGCAGGCTCCCGTCAAAAAAAAGTGCGAGCCGTACTTCATTGCAAAAGAGCTTGGATGGGCTACTCCCTCTGCTAGCTGTGTAGCCCGAGACACATTGCTCTTTCTGGGACTGCATGTCGGCCTGCACCGTATTTAACCGTATCAGCCGAGAAAACCCTCGACGACTGAGCGCCAATGTCAAGAGTTGAGATGATGTCCAACATTGCGTCGTGCCAGCCTCCACTGTGAAGCGATGGCATCCACGAAGTGCTCGAAAACTGGCAGGGATTCCGCAATGACATTGCTGTATAATTTTGATCTTGTACGCCTCTCTATAAAAAGAAAGCCTTGTTTGAAAAAATGTGACAGAACTTTCCCGCCAACCTAATACATTCTCAAAACATCCCGTCGTGCGTATTGTCGCTCGCAAACCCTAAAACATTCAGGTGGGCTTTTGTCCATGCAAATATTTGTTTGCATGGACAAAAGCACCTGAAATCTGAGTTTACACCTTTCCACCACCTCTGCGTAGGAGCGTAATGCACGGCGCAACACTCGAATAATCGATCAGGTGAAACCGAGCTCTTCTTTCACTCATCCGAGAGGGTAAATGATGTGTTTTGGAGGCAGACAGCTGAAGTTCTTCGTGTGTCCTCACAATGGCACAGAAGGAGTCGATTTTTCGGGTGGGTCAGAGGGTAGCGCGTCTGTGACCCATCTAAAATATCTCCTGAACTAGTGGGTCTTCAGAAAAACTGTAAAGCTTATTTGGAAGAGAAAAGAAGATGAGGCGGTTTCGTAGTCGAATTTCTAATCCTGATGAAATGTGTTCGAAAAATGAGCGTCCTCGTATAAATATAAAACTAAGCCGCTCGCTTCCGATTTACACCCCTAGCCGATCCGAAACCCATCCGAAATATTTCACAAACTGGGGAAACATTCAGATTGCAGCTGGGTAGAAAACGCAACAGTAGGAATATTCCCCTTGCATGCTGCTAACCATTCAATAAAAAGCCGCGCCCCTCAAAGAGATATAACCCCGAAAAGACCCCAGGACGTTGGCAGGTCCAACAACCGCGCTCCAATGACGTTTTTCCAACGAAAGCGGTCGCAGCCTTGCGATCGATAATAGCCAAGTATAGAACCCGCATTTTTTTTGTATTTTTCATGTTTCGCTTTGTTGTGTTGTGCATGTTTTTATGATTTCCCCGTCACCAGTTCATTTGAACGCACAGTCATGGGCCTGAGACACCTCACCTTGGGCTTTTTTTTTCACACAATTCAGCTTATCGATGATCAACGCATTGTAGCTATTTCAATTGTGTTTCTTTTACAAGTTGCATGTCATACATAGTTATCGAACGAGGAGTTTTATTTTGAATCCTAAGACAAAATTGTAGGTAATGCGAGGCTGTTGTTCAGCCTCATATTGCATGAGGCTGAAACAGCCTTTTATTTCCTGTATTTTAGAGCAGAGTGCGCCTTTCGAGAATCCAGATTCCATTTCAGGAAGCCATTTGTGGTGAACATGCATCTGGTTGTCAGTTAGAGCAGGAGGGGGGGGGTCGTATCTGGACCCTCTTCGAGGGAGGGGGGGGGGGTCGTACTCACACTTGCCATTTCGCGACATACCCCATGTCTGTCCGTCTGCGGGCCAACATACAGTATATTGCTCCAGCCGGTTCATCGCTGGCTTCATGCCGATGCAAAATCGCGATGATTGGAGTGAAATCGTGAGACAGTTATGTGAACGACCCGGAGCTCAAATCTTGAACATTGCCTCACTTAGCACTGCAGCAACACATAAGCCAACGGCGCCACATGCTATTGTCATGATAGACTGTGCAGCAATTTTGAAGGTGGACAATCGCTGAAAGGAGGACCTGTCGGAAATGCTAGTCCTTGCTTTGGAGGCTGAGCCGGCATTAAAAGTGATGAATTATGCGGCTCAGATAGTAACAATAAGGAAGCAAATGATCCTGTAGTGAAGAAAAAAAAGGAAAAAAAAAACAGGAAATGCCTTATAGAACTCCACGACGAACTGAGGCTGTACCTATGTATACAAGGCGAAGAAAGGGTGAAGTCGGGCGACTTCTCTTTTGTAGATTACAACTCCTTCTCCTTTATCATTCCGTCACGTCCTCAATCCATTCCAATGGAGAGAATCAGATAAGCGAACAACGCGCACGGTCCTGGTAATAGTATAATAGCATATGCGTTTTGGTGTTGTTAGGCAGACAATGGGCGTAGGTCGGATAGCCACTCCAACAACGTCGGCGCTCTGTCTTAACGTTTTTTTTGAAACTGCGGAACTGTAACATCCGTTCCCGCTGCATAGCGTGGAGGGCTACCGTATCGCAAGGAGCGGTGGGACATAGATTATCACGAGCTCTGATTCAAGCACGCCAGGCTCTACACTTGAACTTTGCTGTTCAATCGTGCATTTGCAATGCCACCATATTTGAAGCCCTAAGCACACATACGTGCCGCATTCGCTGTTCTGGTACAGGGGTGAGCCACCGCGTCGGCTAGGCATCGTGCGGCATTCGGTACAGCTACGGGGCGCTAATAACATCGGATGATCTAAATTTGGAAAGACCCTCTATCATTTTAGGTGACCACATCATGGTTGTTACTCTGGGTGCCAACCTAGAACTGGACGAGTCGTCTGCCATCCGACATGCAGATGAACTGAATGATGCTGACGTCGTCATAGCACAGGCTAGAGTATGCCAAAGCGGTAACAAGAAAATATTTGAATTGGCTAAGGAGAGAGGAGGTTAGATATTTAAACAGCATAGTAAAATTTGACCAGGTTTGTTTTATTTTCAGTCCTCACGCTATGCAATCCAGCGCCGAGCGATCATTGTGAGGACCGATCGATTATGGAGTTAGTCGACATTTTGTGCGTAAATGAGCTCGAGGTACTATTTTAATCTATCCAGGGGCCTGTTCCCATTCACCCTTTCTATGACGTACCAATAGATCTACAAAATGGATTCTCACTAGTGCATTGGCTATGGTAGGCTGACTCCGCCTTTACGATCACTCTGTGCCTCCAGTTTCAAGAAAAATTCCCAGAGTGAATGGTGGGCAGAAACCCTTTCTTGAGGAGTTAATACAATCCACGCACCCTACAATTCCTCATCCACACAGCCCCAATTTAGAGTTAGACGTGCAATCACAAGACCTCATTCAGGGTATCCGTAACGGTTCTGTCCACTCTTTTCTTCACAGGTGAGCCAGCTAGCATTCAAAATCCATATGTGGGCCCCAGCACCCACGAGCTGTAACCGCTGAGTGTGTCTATAAGGTTGATGTTCAGAAAGCCTCACCAGAACCGGTTAAGGTTCGCCTACTTCCAAGAGCATAAGTCAGATTGCCCACTATTTTTTGCGTATCGATCAACTAGCCAGCGTGGAGCATCCCCCCATACGGTAGCGTTACATCTGTTCCCGTCACTAGCCCCGCGCGACCACATTACGCGACCACTGGAACGACTCGTTCGTTCAGATACGGCACCCATGTAAGTCTGTCTTCTTTCTCGGATAACGGAATAAGCTCGGCATAACCTGAGATCTATTCTACTAGGAAGTCTAAGGAGAGACGCCATTATTAAGTGATTCGCAAGAAGGCCACTGCTCATGGTAAGATCCTATCCACTATTGAGGCGGCGTTCATACTTCGCGACAGCAGCGGCGATGGCGGCGACCTCGGCGATGCCGCGATCGTCGGTACGTGGC